AAACACTTTGACTAACAAACTCAGCAGAAAATGTTTTTGCCTTCGTGTGCATGTAAATACACGCATACATACATACAAAAAGAACGCAGCAATCGCGCGTGATTACCCATACAAACGCAACTTACCGTTACTTCATTTAACTCAAGCAAACGATCAGTGTTTGACTTGAGGAAACGAAAACAGAAACAACTATCTCCCTCAGAGCGCGAGAGAGCTAAGCCAGACGCGACAAAAACAGTTTCTGTCTGAGTTTTTTTGACTGTGTCAGTGAAAGACACTTATTTGCAGACAACGAAAAAGTGTTAACAGTTATTTGCGAGCTATGGTTATGAATAAATGCAAAATTAGTTTATATTAGTTAAATTTAAATGAAATTTAATTACTTTACATCGATTAGTTATAAAAAAATGTTATCAGCACATGCATTCATTGAATTTGCACTTTTTTCTGTGGTTGAGAGAGATGCCCATATGTAATTTTAATGATATTATTACGTTCTAATGAAGATGGACCATCTACAGAACATCCTTAACCGCACAATAGAATATTATAGTTTCTTATTAAAATGATATGACTTTTATTTATCAAACATTTACATCGATATTATTCTAGCAGTTATATTTAATGTATTTTTCCCTTTTAATGTGTTTTGGCTATTTATTAGCTAAGGTTAGTAAATTTATTAATTTTATGTGCCTTAATTAGCTAGTTATATAAATTAAAATTAAAACCTAATTACTTAAATGCTAATAAGACGGTGCTTAAAATATTTTTGTATTGGTATTGATCGTTTGTTTTATTCGGTGAATTCTAATCAAACTAATATTATCAAAATTTTATGAACAGACGGACATTTAAAAGCTATCAAGCTAATGGCTCACTTATATAATATATCTCATTACAATTTTTAAATTTTATTTACTTCTTAGTTTACACTCAGACTATAGTTAAACAGAAGTAACAAATACCATGGAAATTATCAATATCGAGTCTGTGCTTAGATCATTTGATAGCATCTGTTTCTTTTTTCTAGACCAATGAGCTATGCTTTATCTATATATGTACTCTCTTTATTTACCCAACTATTCTTATAGATTATTAAAATGTTATTTAAATATGGTATTAAGAAAGTTTTTGCAAGTAGCCTTTCTTCTATACATATTGCCCATAGGCTTCAAATTTGATCGTTCATTTATCAAATATTTATCGATCACTGAATTGTAGGTTAAAAACAGGAATACTGTTTGTGTTTATTTTATTTTACTTTTTCATTTTCTTAACTTTTTCAATTGTTTTGATAGCGCTTACCAAATATGTATATATGAGTTGAGCGTTAAAGAATGGAAAAAAAAATATTTGAAGTGCCGGTATTACTTAGAGTTATCCTTCGAATAGATCTGAACATATTGGGTTAACAGAAAGTCCTAAAACAGTATTGAAGTCCTGTTAAGTATCCAAATTCTAAAAAAGTATATTTAGCTCAAATTGGTTCCTAAATGATATTCAAAAGAACTCTATTTTCTGCTGCTTTTTTATAAAAATGAAGATACAAAATTAATTTAAACCATAACTACACATCCATAGACTCTAAATTAATCAAGTCGATCCGATTCTAGACGACAGACCAGCCCAAAACTATGTACGTATAAAAATGCTTATTTGATTTTTGTTGCCACTCTTTTTAGCCAATAAATAATAACTACTGTATTACTGATATTTATTTGTTGTAAAAATATTATTAATAAAAAGCCTAATTATAAATCATTCTTGAAAATTTAAACCAGATTTACAAATCTAGCTCCGCTCCGTTTTCTTTATGGGATACATGTTGTTTGTATAGCTCTATTATTTATATTATATTATA